GGCGCCAAACAGTTACTACAATCGGGACTTTTATCAGGGGTTTCGTCGTATGAATCCATGAAAATCATGTCTTCAATACCTTTCTTTGAGACGATTATTGACAAAATGCGCGCAAATGAACCAAAGCTTAAGGCAATTATTGCCAAATATAATCCGGATCTCTATATCATTGATGACTTTGCGGGTTCGCCGACACTAATCCACTCGAAGAAGCCCTGGGTTTTCCTATTTAGCGGTAATCCGTTATTTGTATTAAAGGACGACAGGACACCGCCCTCCTGTTCCGGTCAGTTGGGGTTTATTTAAAATAATTATTGCATTATTATTATTAAAAACATTTTTAATTGTTTAATATTCCGTTAAATGTTGATGTATTTGTTATCATTAAGAAGACAATATAAGACTAGTATTGTTTTGCAATGAAATAAGATTTTAATGTTATTTATTTGGTGTGCAGGCTATCCGTCGAATGGTGACCCCTCTGAATGGGAAGAGTTTAAAGAATTAGGAAAAGATTTGTTTACAAAACAAAGCATAAAATACAACGAATGGATGAGAGAGGAAGGCTTTCCCATAACTACTAATAACAAAGCAATTATCGACTCCCCGTATCTCAATATCTATGGCTATCCCGAAGAACTAATTTGTTTACAAAACAAAGCATAAAATACAACGAATGGATGAGAGAGGAAGGCTTTCCCATAACTACTAATAACAAAGCAATTATCGACTCCCCGTATCTCAATATCTATGGCTATCCCGAAGAACTAGATTACATAGATATCCGACCCCTTCCTGACAAGTGGTTCAGAGTCGACGCGTTTATGAGAAAAGGAGAGCAAGAATTCAAAATTCCTGATAAAATTCGTGAAAGAGATGAACAAAAAAGTAAATTAATTTACCTCTCAATGGGTTCTATGGGTTCAGTGGATGTGAATCTTATGAAGAGATTTGTGGCGATTCTCTCGAAATCCAACCATAAGTTCATTGTCTCGAAAGGAGTTCGCGGCGATGAATATGAATTGGCGGACAATATGTGGGGCGAGAAGTCGGTTCCGCAGACAAAAGTGTTGCCATTAGTAGATCTCGTGATAACTCATGGCGGGAACAACTCGGTCACCGAAACCTTTAGCTATGGAAAGCCTATGATTGTAATGCCTTTGTTTGCGGATCAGTTCGATAACGCACAGAGAGTTCAGGAAAAGGGGTTTGGGATTCGTCTGAATC